AGTGTAAGCTCTAAGCCAAGTCTGAAGCCAAGCACTATACCTAGCTCAAGCTTACTGCCAAGCTTACTGCCAAGTTTGATGCCAAGCTCTGAGCCCAGTGACAGCTCTAWGCCTAGCGTGATGCCCAGCTCGATTCCTACCTTAAGCTCTATGCCAAGCACAATGCCAAGTTTGATGCCAAGTTCGATGCCAAGCTCTGGGCCCAGTGATAGCTCCAAGCCTAGCGTGATGCCCAGCTCGATTCCTAGCTCGAGCTCAATGCCAAGCTCAATGCCAAGTGAAAGCTCTAAGCCCAGTCTGTCACCTAGTTCAATGCCTAGCTCAAGCACAATACCAAGTGTGGTGCCAAGTTCCTTGCCCAGTGTCAGCTCGAAGCCCAGCATGACGCCTAGCRCATTACCAAGTATGATGCCAAGTTCTATACCCAGTGTAAGCTCTGAGCCTAGCGTGATGCCAAGTTTCATACCTAGCTTAAGTTCAGTGCCAAGTTCAATGCCAAGCACAATTCCAAGTGTGATGCCTAGTACAAGCTCAGTACCTAGTGTGATTCCAAGTTCAATGCCTACCTTCAGCTCAATACCAAGTGTGACGCCAAGCTCCATGCCTAGCTCTAGCTCAATACCAAGCTTGATACCAAGTTCAATGCCTACCTTCAGCTCAATACCAAGTGTGACGCCAAGCTCCATGCCTAGCTCTAGCTCAATACCAAGCTTGATACCAAGTTCTCTACCCAGTGTAAGCTCAATGCCAAGTTCAGTGCCTAGCTTAAGCTTAAGCTTAGTGCCAAGTGTGATTCCAAGTTCAATSCCTAGTGCAAGCTCTAAGCCTAGTGTGATGCCAAGTTCAATGCCTAGCTCAAGCTCTAAGCCCAGCATGATGCCAAGCACCATGCCTAGTTCAAGCTCAATGCCAAGTTTGATACCAAGCTCTACGCCCAGTGTAAGCTCGATGCCAAGTTCAATGCCAAGTTCAATGCCAAGTTCATTTCCTAGTTCCAGCTCGATGCCAAGTGTGATTCCAAGTGTTTGGCCAAGTGCAAGCTATAAGCCCAGTGCGATGCGAAGTTCAATGCCTAGCTTAAGCTCTAAGCCCAGCTTGACGCCAAGCTCTGTACCTAGCCTAAGCTCAATGCCAAGTTTGATACCAAGCTCCTCGCCTAGTGTAAGCTCAATGCCAAGTTCAATGCCAAGNAAGCTCAGTGCCAAGCTCAATGCCAAGTTTGATGCCAAGTTCCATGCCCAGTGTAAGCTCAGTGCCAAGCTCAATGCCAAGTTTGATGCTAAGTCCCATTCCCAGTGTAAGCTCAATGCCAAGTTCTATGCCAAGTCGAAGTTCTAAGCCTAGCGTGATACCAAGTTCACGGCCAAGCTCAATGCCAAGTGCGATGCCAAGTTCGATGCCAAGCTCAATGCCAAGTTCGATGCCAAGCTCAATGCCAAGCTCAATGCCAAGTCCTATGCCAAGTTCTATGCCAAGTCCTATGCCCAGTGTAAGTCAAATGCCGAGTTTGAGCTCGGAACCTAGCACGGTTCCAACTGTGAGTCTGATGCCTAGTATGAGCTCTAAGCCCAGCGTTATGCCAAGCTCTATTCCTAGCTTGAGCGCAATGCCAAGTGTGAGCCCAAGTATTGTACCGAGTTCAATGCCTAGCTCAATGCCAAGTTTGATGCCAAGCTCTGTACCTAGCCTAAGCTCAATGCCAAGTTTGATACCAAGCTCCTCGCCTAGTGTAAGCTCAATGCCAAGTTCAATGCCAAGTTCAA